TTTATATTATATGCTCAAACAAAAAATAATATTTTTTATGTTTATTATTGTATTAAAAATAAATATAATATTCCATGTTATAAATTTAATTTTTAGGGATGTTATAGATTTTATTTTAATTGATAATAATTTATTTATTTGTATTAAAAATTGTGTTGACGTAGATGACACAACGTATTTATAGATATTTTACGAGTGTAGTATACAGGTAGAAGAACTGATTTGAACGGATAAACTAGTTGAGCGGATTTGTTTGCCTTTACCAGTTGAGCAAACCAATCAAAAAGCTTGATTGTGAATTTATTTGAGGTTCTCGTACTAACACGACAATGAGTACGTTTACGTCGATGTATCTGCTTCAACTTTATCTGTTACCAGCTGGTGAAGGAACCTATACTTTTGTCACTATAGAGGCTGAGCTATAGTTAATTTTTTTTTTTTTTTGTAATAATTAATAATTTCTACATGATTGAATAGGAAAACATGAGAATCCATTATTGAAAATAGTCAAAGGAGTAGTTATGCTATTATTTTATTCGTTGCAAAACATAAGTTAAAATTCAAGTTTGGTATTTGATGGTCTCGACATTCTTCTGTATCTTCTACGTCATGATTATTTACCCATTTGAGTTGTTTATAAAAGTGAAGACTTGTAACAGTCAAAGCTCACTGCTAGTAGATATTGTTCGCTTTGGTCTGTTATATATCGTTGTCAGCCTCATAGTTTTAAAACACGTCTACTAGGGAAAAGTTTCCACACCCTTAGAAGTAATGCTTCGTTTCCCTCTCCAACCGATGTGGGGTCTTATAAGACTATACCCACAAACAACTCGAGTCATTTTAACATGAGATTTCCACACCCTTATAAGGAATGCTACTTGTAACAGTCTAAGCTCATTGCTAGTAGATATTGTTTGCTTTGGTCTGTTACGTATCGTTGTCAGCCTCATAGTTTTAAAAAGCGTCTACTAGGGAGAGGTTTCCATACCCTTATAAGTAATGCTTCGTTTCTCTCTCCAACCAATGTGGGGTCTTATAAAATTATACCCACAAACAAACCCGAGTCATTTTAACATGTTTTGTCATCACTCACATATTCATTAGAAATTTTTTCGGGCTTGCTTAACTTTGAAGTACATATGTAACTTCAACTCACAACTTTAAAACACGTCTGCTAGAAGTAGTTCCACACCTTTATAAATAGTGTTTTGTTCTCCTTTCCAACTAATGTGGGACATCACATCATATGATTGAGTTATCCAAAATGAAAGTACATTTTGTCAGTATAGATAGAAACTTCAATTCTTGTAACCATTGGATTATGATTTTTTTTAATTAATTACTAAAAAAATATAAATAAACAAATTAATAAGGTTTGTAATACTCAGAATTAAGATATTATAATTTATTTATAGGTTATTGGTTGGAATCTCTAATATTTTATTTAAAATATCTGAAACATAAATATTATTTTATTATGATACGGAATAAAATTAAGTAATTAGAAAATAAAAAGGGAAACAAAATGATGGAAAAGGCAGCGTGCACATGAATCATTAACAGCCAGAAACCCCATTTTTTTTTTAATTTTTTTAATTAAAAAAATGAATTTTAAATTATTTTTAGAAAAAGACTGGCATTATTTAATTAATTAAGATGAAAAATTAGTACTGATTTGGGATTTATTTTATGTATTATTTAATCCTTTGGAACGTGAAGAAATTATTTATGAAATTGTTTTGACTCAAAATCACGTGGGAAAAGCTTAAATAATAATAATAATATTTTAAAAATTATGTGCTACTAAATATTTTTTTTATTTTTATCAAAATAAATATAATTTAATAATAATTGACGTATATATTTAATTTTTTTTTATATTTTATATTTATTATACTAAAAAAAACATTATATTCTAAGATGGATCATAATAATGGAAAATATTTTGGGTTGGAATTGTGTAATTTTTTCCTTACTAATTTTATTTTTTTATGTATATTTTAATTTTTTTTGGAAGATAATATATTATTAAAACGAGAGGATCTCACAGCTTGGTAACGAAGCAACGAGAAAATAATTAATGACTAAGATGACAAATAATTTAGGGAGAGGTAGGACTCGAACCATAAAGATGTAAGTTTCGTTCCGTCCAATTATGATGATAAGTTGTATACTAGGCTAACCTCTAAACACGAAAGAACAAGCCATGAAACAAAGAAGAAGAGAGGCTCGAGGCCGACCATAGGATTAGCCTCTCAAGGAGACACGAGCCATTTGTGCCCTTGTTTCTTCCCGCCTAATCATGATTTTTCTATCTCCATAAGAAAAAGTTCTCTTTTGGATGGTAACAGCCCAAACCCATCTTTGAACTTTCCTTTTCGTGCTTCTCCTCAAGGTTTTTAAAACGCGTATGCTAGGGAGAGGTTTCCACACCCTTATAAAGAGTGTTTCATTCTCCTCCCCAACTGATGTGGGACATCACATGGACAATTGTGGGTAAGAAGAGAATCAAACCTCGACACCGACGTTCAAAGCTACATTCTCTAATCCTCTAAGCTACAAACCCTACCTTGTTTCCACTGAACCTATTCTCGAGAAACCCTAAAAAAAAAGAACTTTTCCTCTCCTAGCTATTTACCATTTCGGGTTAGGAAGATAAGCTTAATTTGGGCCCTTGACGCCTCCAAAACGTGATTTCTAGGTAGATATAATTTATAAGACCAACCAAACCTATAAATTACCGATATTTGAAAGATTTATACTTCCAACGAACCTCGATTTATCCATATAATTCACCAAAACAATGAAAAAGAACAAAGTTTTGATGGAACTCCACACCAAACCATGAACAACATTACCCATTGTTGCTTCATTCAAAATATTAGCTGATTTCTTGTCACAATCCCCTACCAAAATCTCACCTATTTCCACCCATTCTTCCACTCTAAGCTATGCCAATCACTAAATAAAACTCTATTCAATCACAAACCCCTTTACTTCACTCAAAATGAGGCCTAAAACACATCCTATGCACCAATTTCTCAACCTCAAAACCCTAATTTTAGCTCTATTTCTTTCATTGTTCTTCATTTTCCTCATGAAATCTACCATTTTTGATTCATCCACACAAAACCCATCTCAAAAGTTTCAATCTTTTTCATCACAAGCTCCAAAAAATTGCACCCCATGCAACAAAATCCCTCGCTCTTTATCCCATGCCCTAATCCATTACGCCACCTCTTCCATAACCCCACAACAAACCCTAAAAGAAATCATGGTGGCAGCCTCGGTCCTCGCAGTCCGGTCACCATGCAACTTCCTCGTCTTTGGTCTCGGTCACGATAGCCTCATGTGGGCTACATTAAACCATGGTGGCCGGACGTTATTCCTCGAAGAAGATGAATCATGGATTCAACAAATACATCGTCGTTTTCCGATGTTGGAATCTCGACATGCTTGCTATGATAGCAAGGTCCAACAGGCTGATAGTTTGATGGATGTCGGAAAAGGACTGGAGTGTAGGGCAGTTGGTGACCCGAAATATTCAGTGTGTCAACTAGCACAAAAGGGTCTCCCAGAAGAAGTGTATGACATGAAGTGGGATTTGATTATGGTGGATGCACCGACTGGGTACTACGACGATGCGCCGGGGAGGATGACGGCGATCTATACAGCGGGGATGATGGCGAGGAATAGGGAAGAAGGGGGAATTACAGATGTTTTTGTGCATGATGTGAATAGAGAAGTGGAAGATAAGTTTTCAATGGAGTTTTTGTGTGAAGGTTATATGGTGAAACAAGAAGGGAGATTAAGGCATTTTAGAATTCCTTCTCATAGGGATGAATTAGATAAACCCTTTTGCCCATTTTAATCTCAAGAATATTACGTGGGTCACGTTACGAGCGTTTTACCCATTTTAATCTCGAAAATAATGTGGGTTAGGTTTCGAGCGATTCTTATGAGATGTGTAACGATTGTGTTCTATCAAAAAAGATGAAATAGATTCAAAGGAGCAGTGTGAGGGCATTTTGGTCATTTTATATATCATGAACGTTCAGAAGAGATTTCAAGTTAAATGCCGAGTTTTATTAATTTTTAATAAAATATATTTTTTTAGAAAAATAAACATTGCCCTAATTCTAGTAAATACATTTCATATCTAAATCACTTTTTAATGAGAAAAATAAAATAAAAATATCTAAATTTTTCTTTAATCTCTACCTTTCATAGCAATAAACCCTTATTTAAAAATGTAATTAATATTGCAATAAAGAAAACTACGGTTATAGTTCATTACATTCTTTTTAACAATTAATTTATTTTGGTCTAATTTGGATATAAAATATTTGACCAAAAAGTAAAATAAAATCTTTATTGTTTTTTTTTAAATCTCATATTAATTGGAGAGGAGAACGAGACATTCTTTATAAGAACGTGAAAACCTCTATTTAGTAAACACATTTTAAAATCGTGAGGCTGACGGTTGATACGTAATAGGCCAAAACGGATAATATGTGCTAGAAGTGGGCTTGGACGGTTACAAATGGTATTAGAGCCTGACATGAGGTAGTGTGTCAATGCGATCATTGGCCTCTAAGGGGGTGGATTGTGAGATCTCACCTTGGTTGGAGAGATGTAGAAACATTTCCCTAGTAGACGTATTTAAAAATCGTGAGGCTGACGACGATACATAATAGGTCAAAGTGGACAATATCTGCTAGAAGTGGTTTGGGCGGTTACAAATGGTATTAGAGTCGTACGTACACTGGCCTTCAAGGGGGGTGGATTGTGAGATCTCACATTCGTTAAAGAGGGTGTGGAAACATCTCGGTAGTAGACGCGTTTTTAAATCATGAGGATGACGATGATTCGTAACGGACAAAAGTTGACAATAGCTGCTAACAGTGAGCTTGAACTATTACATGTTTAAATCTTCGTCTCCCGAATTTAAAATTTAAAAAGTGAACCACTACTAGAGAAGGAAGCAATATTTTAATCTCCGAGTCATGTCATGTCGACCCACAACCCTAATCTATTCAAATTTTTCAACAATATTATTGAATTTAGTTCGTAAAGTATACATTATTTTACCTCTCGTGGTAATAAAGATGTAATCTTTACTTATTAAGACCACGAATTTAAACGACATCACGATCCGTTTTTCCATCACTTGGTCTTTTAGAAACAAAGTCAAGATTATAAAGGACAGGAACCATCACTACAGAGCTCAAGAAAACAAGCAACGGCCCACAAGTCCAAAGCAACAAAGGCAGAGCCGAATAAAAGAGTCTATTCCCAACGGTGTTCAAAACACAGCCTTTGTCCAAAAGGTCCACCAAATGGTGCTCTGTTAGCACGGACAAGGGCTGCAATGGGGCGCTGATCAGAAGGCTGGCTTGGTTCATGAACTTGATGGACAAGGAATGGCAGAAGAAGGAGAAGATGAAGATGGTTAGGATTGTTACGAACTTTAGAACCAATGTGAACTCCCCGTGCGCGCCGTAGACGGTGTCAGTTAGTGGCTTTTTGATGCTGTATGAGCTGCTGAGGACGGCGGCGAGCCCCGCGCAGAGGAGGATTGAGGTGGTCGCCATGAGGCTTGAACCCATGATCATGTTTCTAAATGTTTGAATTGCGATGATGCTCTTCTTGTCTATGTCCTTGAGAATATTAATTATTCTTAATTTTCGTAATAATCTTAAAAGTATAGTAGAATTGGGTGGGTTGTGAATCGTATTTTTGGGTTGGTCGGGTGACCCGAGCATAAAAGTTCCAACCCATAAATCGAGATCAATTTATATATATAGATAGATAGATAAATCTACGATTCGAAAATTATATGGAATATGATAATAAGAGTTCAATAAGATGACGACCGAAAAAGTGATGGCGACATGACTTAGAGATGGTAAAAAAGGAAAATACCCCGAGCATGGCAGCGATCCACGGGCGGCGGAGGGCAGCATTAACTCCGATGATGGTGGCGAGTGGCTGAGTCTTAACCTTGTACCATAACCAAGCATGATAAGTGAAGTTTAAGAGAAGACCAAGAGGAATCAATATAACATCCAAATAATAATTCTTCCACTCCATTGTTAGTTTATTTGGAGGTATTGGTTGATTGGGCTTAGATATTTGAAGAGGATAATGCATCTTTAGCCTTTGATTAGTCTTTTAGTCTATAAAAACCAAGCCAAGTACCATTAATATTTAGTTGACTAAATTAATATGGTTAAAAACTTATCGTTATAAAATACGCAACTATAAAATCTACGCAACTATAAAATCACCTTAAATAGGTTTGTAATGAAGGAAGTTACGAGTAAAAGTAGTTCGATTAAGTCTAGGGTCAGTTAGGTCCAAAACCTAGGTCATAGAATATTTGCCTTGCAAGCAAAATGGTTAATCATTGACGGATCATGCTTGAATGAAAATTTTCTTAAGATGCATGCGTGTAAGCACAAAGTATGCTGGTAATGTGAAAGGAATGCAAAAGAAATATCGGAGCTATCATGTGTATTGCAAATCCTGAACGGAATTCTGGACATGGGTTATTATAATTTCTATGAAAGATGGAGAGAAAATCAATTTAAGCTTCATTGACTTTTTAAAGACAAAAAATCGTCATTCCATCATTTCTATTCGATCATTTCTAGTAAAAGTAATTTTAAATCATAAAACCTAGGAAACCAATTCCTTAGAATTCGAGGGCATAGTTGTACAACCTACAGAACCAATCAGCCCCGAGCACCCGACGGCTAGTTTAGGTACAATGACATCTTTATTAGTAATAACAAGTCGTTAGAGACACCTGATTCCTCACACATGCTATGTTACTCATCAAAAATGTTGGTAATCATTCTGTCATAACTAATAAAACCAATTTTAATCACACAACTGAGCCTGAAGGGATCTGCTTCTTAACAATGCTATATGACAACCTCAAATGTGTTGCAGCTTTTACAAGAGATATATAATGCAGTTATGTTAAATCTACTCTCAACACAAAACATAGGTTTCAACCTGCAACCTCGATCGAGATGTTCAGCATGCACATCGGCCAATCGGGAACGGAGGAGGTCCAGAGTAACCTGAAAGGCCATAGAACTAGTAATTAAAAGACGGTAGAGATAAACAACGGTTGTTTCGTTATCGATCAATCATTCAAATCATGTCGAGATTTGCACATCAATTTTACTTTTTCTTTCTATACAGCACCCTGTTATTCGACAAGTTATTCAATTCCAGGCATGGCCAATAGGACCACAGCAGCTCAAGAGAATCAGATTTATTAAGCCCCATCACGAGATCATATATCAAAGTCACAGGCAATGATCCGACAAGTTATAAAAAGATAGCAACCACAATTTCTAAATATAAATACTCAGCCAACGTATTATCTAATAATGTTGCTTCAACTCTAAAACAATAAATATTATACGGTAGTAGTTGTTGAGGATTGTTGGGAGGGAGTCCCACGTTGGCTAATTAAGGGGATGATCATTGGTTTATAAGTAATGAATACGTCTCCACTAGAACGAGGTCTTTTAAGGGAACCAAAAGCTAATTTATGAGAGTTTATGCTCAAAGTGGACAATGTCATACCATTGTGGAGGTCTGTGATTTCTAACATGGTATCAAAACCATGCCCTTAGCTTAGTCATGTCAATAGAATCCTCAAATGTTGAACAAAGTTGCTAGCCTCAAAGGTGTAGTCAAAAGTGACTCAAGTATCGAACAAATGGTGTACTTTGTTTGAGGGCTCTAGAGAAAAGAGTCGAGCCTCGATTAAGGGAAGACTGTTCGAGGGCTACATAGACCTCAAGGGAGGATCCATGGTATACTTTGTTCGAGGAGAGGATTGTTGAGAGGGAGTCCCACATTGGCTAATTAAGGGAATGATTATGAGTTTATAAGTAATGAATATAACTCCCATGTTATGAGGCCTTTTGGGGAAACCAAAAGCAAAGTCATGAGAGCTTATGTTCAATGGATCATATCATACCATTGTAGAGATCAGTAGTTTCTAACAATAGTAACTATCAAATATTCTTAATATGGACATGGGATTAAGATGAGGATGGTGGAGCTCTTAAGATCAAATTAGTGGAAAACCTCATTGCCTTTGTTAAGCTGAACTCCACAGTGAGTGCAATGTATGAAGTGTTTGTTCTCTTGCAGATCTCCTTGTTTACAAATAGGACACCATAACTTCCCAAGATCCTAACAAGACATCCAAAATAGATAAAAAAAAAAAAAAAGGAAATGTAAGATCCAGTTAACAAGAATGCCTAAAGGCATCCAAAATTTCAAATTAATATAGCCCTCAAGAATCAAGATGAAAACCAACCTTCTCACTGTTGAGTTGCATATGTTCGTAAACTGCACGGGCTAAGAACTTGTCTTCTTCGTCTTCCCATGTTACAATAGGGCCTTCAGATTCTGCAAGGAGCTGAGTAAACATCCTACTCAAAATAGAGATTTTAACAGCTTAAATACTACCAGAGAAGATCAATAACCATGGCTCTAATATAACAGAGCCTGCTAAAAGAACAGATGACAACAAATCATTTATTCTTTGGAAGACAAAGCCTGCTCACTGCTACTAAATTTGTTTTCCAGTTAAAAAGGAGGATGCTTTTCAATTCAAAGCTTTGACACTGAGACATCTCACATCAGTTAGAGAGGAGAATTAAACATTCTTTATAAGAGTGTGGAAACCACTCTCTAGCAAATGCATTTTAAAACCTTGGGAGAAAACCTGGAAGGGAAAGCCCAAAGAAGACAATATTTGCTAATGGTGGGCTTGGGTTGTTACAAATGGTATCAGAGTCACCAGGTTATGTGCCAGCGAGGAGGCTGAGCCCCGAAAGGGGTGGATTGGGGGTGTTCCACATCGATTGGAGAGGGGAACGAGTGTTAGCGAAGATACAGGGCCCCGAGGGGGGTGGATTGTGAGATCCACCATCGATTGGAGTGGGGAATGAAACATTCTTTATAAGGGTGTGGACACCTCTCCCTAGCAGACACGTTTTTAAACCTTGAGGAAAAACTCGGAAGGGAAAGCCCAAAGAAGAAAATATCTACTAGTAAAGCCAATGAACATGAACAAGTAAAATGGCGTTAGAAAAATCACCTTTTTGTTTCAGATCAACATTCAAATCCTCATAGAAAATCCTTTGCATTTCCAACAAAATTTCTTCACCTTCACCTGCATAAGCATCATGAAGCCCCTCATATTCCCAAAGAGCATCATCAGACTCGGGAGCAGAGGTTAAATTCTTATAACATTCATTCTCAGCTTCGTCTTTAATCTTTTTCAGCTCATCAGAAAATATATCTTGAAAAGAAGATCTGATGAAATCCTACAACCAACCAAAAATCCAAAAAAACACATACAAATTACATAACAAAAGAAGTAAGTCATGTAAGAAAACAAAGAGCAACATAGAACATCCAACAACTAATTGTTAAAATCGTATATATTACAGAAATATTTACAAAAACGAACCTGCTGCCGATCATCGAGAGAATGGAGATAACCGGGCGACCTCATCTTCCAGAGCAAGCGGTTTCTTCCTTCTCTGACCCTCTTGCAACAGTTCTCCTTCAGCTAATCACAGTAAAATTATTAATTTCGAATAAAATTAACGAATACATTATTCTTGTTCTTCTAATTGATCATATATCCCGCAAGAAACACAAAACAATTGGCATCGAGAAAAGAGAAAATTCACCTTCTCCTTCCATGACTGATGATTGTTGTAACGAGGATGAGTCTTAATCGAAGAACGATGCGTTTGAGTGACGGAATCTGGATCCTTCTCCTCCATTTTCACTGCTTCTTTTCCGCTACGATACAGAAATTTTCCCTCAACTAATGAACAGTCCTCTCTTCATGTGGAAGCGGTGACCTTCAACATTTCAATTCCGGCCGCGAATTATGCATCGACGACGGACAACGAACCAAACGGAGCTGCTATCAAATTGGGCTTTTGAAAACGAATTTGGGCCCGTTATGGATGGGCCCACTAGGCTTTTGCATGTGTGGAAATTGCTTCCATGGGCCGGGTCGGGTCGAAATGTCTTTTAAACCCAATTCAATGATTCGGATCATAATTCTTTTCCATTAGGTCATTTAATTCAAACTTTTATATTTAATAAAAAGTAAAATATTAGTTTATAAAACATTTACTTATTTATTTTTAAATATATAATTAAAATTGGTCGATATTAACTAAAAAAAATTAATTAAATTTTTAAGAAAATAGGATTTAAATTTTTTTGTCTATACGAAAAATATAGAAGAAAAATAAAAATTAATAATATATACCTATAAATTATATGTATATATATCGATTAAATTAAAAAATATACCTTGTAAATAAAATTAAAAATTATATTTTCTAAAACAAATAAAGACTAAATTAAAAAAAATGTATTTATAGGTTAAATTGAGTTAGGTTGAGACATTTTCCTCTCGAAGTAAAATATTTATTTATTTATTTATTTATTTATTTAAAATTTATAATTCAATATAAATTTGTAAGCAAAAATTAGAGTTCACATGATTCACGCCAAACGAAATCTCATCCATTAAAAAAAAGTTAATAAGTTCATCATCACCATGGCCGTCCTCCAATATATATATTCCGTTCATTCAGTTCCATTTCACAGACAGAGCTTCAAAATCCCAACAATGGAACTCCAAATTCTCTCCAAACAAATCATCAAACCTTCTTCTCCCACCCCTCCGGAGCTACGCCGTTTCAACCTCTCTCTGCTCGACCAGCTCGCCACCGCCGGCTACGTCCCCCTCATTCTCTTCTTCGCCAACCACGGCGGAGCGCCGCCTTTCGAGGAGAGATCTCACCGTCTCAAGAAGTCTCTGGCGGAGACTTTGACCCGGTTTTACCCACTCGCCGGCCGGGCTAGAGAGAATAGCTACATCGAATGTAACGACGACGGCGCTGAGTATGTTGAAGCTCGTGCCAACTCTGTTCTCGCCGATTTTCTTAAGGAACCGACGCCGGAACTTCTCGCTTGTTTTCTTCCGATTAAGACTGAAGCCCCTGAGGCGGCCGACGGCGGACGTATGTTTTTAGTTCAGGTATTTCTAAACTCACCACTAACACATATTGTCAGCTTTAATAAGTTAAGCTCACGATTTTAAAACGTTTTATAATTACGAAGGTCAATCTCTGTTTGGCTCGAGTAAACCTTTGCATGCTTCTGCTTCTGATATCTTTTGGGAGGCCTACACCCCATAAAAACTGTCTACGTGAAACTATCACTTGGTTCGTAGGTCTTGATTTAAGGTTAGAATTCTAGCTCTTCTAGAATGGTATTTCACGGATGGAACAATGAAGCTTCATGTTTTGTTTCCCTCTTCAACTGACGTGGAATCTCACAATCTACCTCCTTCGAGGGCCAGCATCCTCGCTGGCACTCATTCCCGTCTCCAATCGATGTGAGACCTCTCAATCTACCCTCCGTCAGGGTCTAGCGTCTTAGTTGGCACACCATTTGGGGTCCACTTCCCTTTGAGGTTCAGCCTCCTTGCTGACACATTATTCGGTGTCTCGCTTTTATACCATTTATAACAGCATAAGCCCACCGTTAACAAATACTGTCTGCTTTAGCCTGTTATATATAGTTGTTATCAACCTAACGGTTTTAAAATCATCTGCTACGGAGATTTTAATGTAATTTTAAATTTTAAAAATTATGAAAATGAAATTAATAATTTTAAATTTTAGGCGACATTATTCGAATGCGGCGGAATGGCAATAGGTGTAAGCTTCTCACACAAGCTAGTCGACGCATACTCCATCAGCGTCATCTTAAAAGGTTGGTACCAAGCGGCGCTCGGCTCCGACACGGCGGAGGCCGAGTTTCTACAAGCTTCTCTGGTTCCACCGCCGGAAGGAATCCCAATCAGTGTCCCTCCGACCGACTTAGGAGCCAAGGACAAATTAGCAAGCCGAAGACTAGTCTTCAACAGCTCCAAAATCGCCGCTCTAAAAGCCGCCGCCGCGAGTAAGCTCATACCGAACCCAACTCGGGTGGAAGCCATAACGGCGCTCATATGGAAATGCGCGATGAAAGCCGCCACCAAAACGACGTCGTCAAATCCTCCAACTCTATCCGTCATGTCCCAAACGGTAAATTTACGCAAAAGACTAACCCCACCGCCGCCGGAATATTCCATCGGAAACCTCCTCGGGAACTTCGTATCAGAGAGAATCCCGCCGGCGGAGAAAACCCTGCCGGAGCTGGTGGAGCTTCTGAGAGATGGAATTACAGAGTTTAATGAAAATGGGATTAATAGATATGAAGGGAAAGATGCGTTTTTGAAGATAATTGAAAAGCTTCAAGAATTGGGAGCTCTGTTTATGAGAGATGACGTGGCGTTTTATATTAGTAGTAGTTGGAGCCGGTTCGGGTTGTACGAGATGGATTTCGGGTGGGGAAAACCGGTTTGGGTTAGTATTGGGAGCATCATGTTTTTGAATTTTGTGGTGCTTACGGACGCTAGAGATGGGGAAGGAATTGAGGCTTGGGTCACTTTGAAAGAAGATGAAATGGCTTCTTTTGAGCTTGATGAGGAGTTGCTTGATTTTGCTTTGATCAACCCGAGTGTCGTTATGTTGACCTAAATTGGTTCGGTTCAATATGATTATCACTTGCAAAGCAAACCCAAGCGTCGTTATGTTGACCTAGACTGATTCGGTTCAATATGATTGTCACTTGTAAAGTTGCATAATGATCAAAATTGTGCCTCAATAATATGTATTTCAATTTTCCGTGAAATATTCTATAAATAAATAAATAAATAAATAAATATATATATATAAATAATGATCAGTGATAGCTGGATTTGTGCCCACAAAATAACAGTAATATCCCATGACCAGTTTGAATTCGATACTTGATGACCTCGACATTCCCTTGTATGTATGTGGTACTCGGCATTTCTTAAAGTTTCAAATTTTTAGGAACGTAAAATATATATATATTTTTTATGATCACTGATTGCTGAATTTGTGCCCCCTCAGAATAACAGTAACATCCCTTCGAGTTTGAATTCGACACTTGATGGCCCCGACATTCATGTATGTGGTAAAGTAGTTTATTGAAGATTGGATTTTCTCTTTGGGTGAGGGTTCGACCCATTTTGATGGCTTTATGATCTCTTCGTGTCGAACCAAACTTGGAGCTACTTTGTGTCGACCAATTCCATACCCTAATTTTTGTAAGTCTTTCTTAGTCATCCTATTCTTAGGATCAGTCTTATTCGAATGTGGTTTTGGTTCATTTATGTACCCTTCATTTACTCGGATGTCACAATAACCTATAACTCTATGTATTAATTTCTACGATAAACTTTCATGAGACTATGAAGCTTTATAAAAACCACACTAAAACCTTCATAATAACCCCACCGTTAGTAGATATTGTCTGTTTCAGCCCTCACGGTTTTAAAACGAGTCTAATAGGGAGAGATTTTCACACCCTTATAAGGAATATTTCGTTCCACTCTCCAACCAATGTGAGATCTCACATAGTCTCTACGACAGTATCACAACACCCTTTCCCCTCCCAAGATAGCACCACCTAGTTTTGCTGCATCGGCTAGTAGTAACACACGCATCTTTATTCACCGGATAAAGTGACCTAAGTTCGTATTAACAAATTCTATTGATCTAGAACGTCTTAATCAGTTAAATTATACTCAAGTTACAAATATTTTAAAGTTTTTTTTTTTTTTTTTCATTCAACAATTGCGTAGACGAGTGATTAACCCTCGTCTCAACAGTTTCAAAATGAGCTATGTTCAAATTGGTTCTGTACAGTGGTTTAACTGATCTTAATTAGTTTAATACAATAAAATTTAAAAAAAAGAACCCGTAATTTTACTGAAACGTGAAAGATAAACATAATACAAGTGGAATACAATAATAATAATAATAGAAATAACATTTTTTGTTTAAGCCTTCCATTATATTCAATTCTTCGTTGGGTTTTACAATGCATCTAGTAGGGAGAGATTTTCACACTCTTATAATAAATGTTTCGTTCCGAGATCTCACACAGTCTCTCCGACTGCATCACAACACCCTTTCCCCTCCCATGATAGCACCACCTAGTTTTGTTGCATCGACTAATAGTAGCGCACACATCTTTATTCACGAGATAAAGTGACCTAGGTTCATATTAACAAATTCTATTGATCTAGAATGTCGTAAGCAGATAAATTATAGTTTCTTTTTTCATTCAACAATTGTGTAAACGAGTGATTAACCCTCGTCTTAACACCTTCTCCAATGAGCTATGTTCAAATTGGTTTCGTACGATGGTTAAGCTAATCTTAATTATTTTAATACAATAAAATTTAGAAAAAAAGACGTAGCTTTATTGAAACGTGGACGATAAACGTAGTACAACTAGGAATACTACGATAAACGATGCCATTTTTTGTTTAAGCCTTCCATTATATTCAATCATTCCTTGGGAGTGAACTTCATATGTAGCCCATCTTCAAAGCTCAATATATGAGCTCTTGCAACCTTTCCTCCCTTAAGCTTGGTCCATCTATCAAAATTAGATTAGTGTGATTAATTAATCTCTCTTATGCACTAATCAAAGCTTAATTTATAAACTAAGTACCTATACTTAGTGAAGAGAATATGGAGGAATGTGCACAAGTAGACTTTAGAGTACTCAGCACCAGCACAATGCCTTAAACCTCCCCCAAATGGCATGAAGTTCTTTTGAATCGTAATCGAGTCCAACTCCTACAATTTAACCCAAACTCGAGATTATTAACTGTTAGATGTATGAAAGAAACAATCTTTTGAGTTGTCGTCATTGTCGGTATACCTTCCAACGCCATGGGTTGAAGGTATGGGGATCCTTGTAAACAGCTGGGTCCCTATGA